AAAAGTGCTATTTGTTGCCATATATTATAAGCATGAACGAAAAAGAAATTGACTATGATAAACAATAATTTCTTCAATATATACCCAACATATTTAATGTATATACAGTCAAAAGTCGTTAATCCGGACTCGTCAGGACTTCGGCGATTCCGGATTATCGATTTTTCCGGATTATAGATCATCAGTTTAAATCACGTAAGATGGCATGCAGAAATTCTAAAATTAATAATATGAAACCTTAATTTATGAAATAAAGAACAATTATAATCTAAAGTGTATCAAAATTTACAAAAAAAAAAAAAAAAAACTTAATATTTATTTGTTTACTTTATTAAACATTTGCTTCAAAGTTGTTTTAAGTTGCTTCGTTTTATGTGATAATACTTTCTCTTTAATTCTATAAACAGACACAATTTCTTGTTCAGTTACAAAGTTCCGCTGTTCAAGTCCCGTTAATTGTTGTGCCGAGAATACCGACTAACTTGTCAATCGAAATTTTTTCGTTTTCACTAACCTCTCTGTCATATTCTTCATGTCTTCATCCATTTTTTGCAGCAATTCCACTTTTTGTTTGATGGACATCGAAACATACTTTCGTTTTGTAGGATCCTTTGGGAGCTCCCAGAATCGGAAATTCTATTTGACATAATCAAAAGTTCAAGTTTACTTTTATAAAATTGCTCTTACAGTCTGCAAAAAATAATAAGCTGGATCCAATTCGAAGATTTAGGAACAATGCAATCATCAACATTAACTGAAATAGGTAATTAGATAATTTTAGATTATACCGTCTGTTATACATAAAACACGCACGCGAAAACGTATTCTGCGCTTGTGCACACGCATATGCGCAGTGGTAAAAGGTCTTACGCACATGCGTAAACGCCTATGCGCATGTTTCAACGCAGCGCATGGGCAGAAAGTTTTTAGCTTTGAGGTCCGGATTATAGATCGTTCCGGATTATGGGTGTCCGAATTAACGACTTTTGACTGTATAAGGAATTTAATATAAATTTGTATTTATTTTAGTATTTAATAATTTATATAGTATTTAATTAAATAAATTGAAAATTCTATACAAATTTGTTAGCAATTTATTTTAAAAAGTAATATACATAAACATACCACAAAATTCATTTTTTAAAAACCATCTTGTGGCCACAATTCAGCAATAGCTGTTACCCCTTCGCGCCGACTGTCACGTCTACGTGCCAGCAACGAACACACTCACCTCCCGGCCGACACGCAGGCGTGTCAGAGCATTTTCCTGTTTACTACCGACTGTCACGTATTTGTGCCAGTGTCCTGGAACATGTACATTAGACCTGGAACATGTATGGTTTCAGGTACATGTACATTAGACCTTCTACTCGAAATGAGAGAAGCATGACTCACATACACGTGTGTTTGATTATATAAACAAACCCGGGAACTAAATGTTTCCGAATGGCGTGATTTATCACGTCTCTTTAAATCGCACTTTATTCGCACGTGGTAGTTGTTTATTGTAAGTAGAAGTTTTAAATGCGCTAAAGCATTGAGTATTTTGGTTTGCAGTTCAGTTTTTAGAAAATAATTAGATCTTGTTAGACATGAATTCTTTCTGTTTTTACCGTTGCAATGTCGAAGTGTCGAAAATGTTTAACAGAGCATGAAATAGCAGAAATGATGCAAAATATTTCAGATATTGATTCTGAAAGATTAACTGAAAGACATTTTCCAAAACTTTGTTCAGAAGAGACTGAGAAGAAAATGAAACGACGATGCTTCGTTTGTACACATTCCCGGAAAAGTCCTCCAAAACGGCAAATGAGTTATTACGAGTGCAAGGAATGTAACGTAGGACTGTGTGTAGATCCCTGTTTTCAAATTTTTCATATGAAAAGAGAATTTTAAGTACTATATTTAGTTTTCAGATGTATAATGTTAAAAGTCATAAAATGGTGAGTAATTAAAATAAAATGTGTAAAATATGCATTTAAACAAGAAATAAGGTAATTAAAGTATATATATATAAATATTTATAAAGCATAAGCCGTTTAAATACTCTGTAGAGCATTATTAAACAATGCGTTAATACTTCGGAAATTTCATGGATTTAGGCTTAGTAGCAAAAAAGCTCCCGGCCCTGGAGAGACGCTCGTGTAAGACACTGCCGGCCTCCGCAATAAGCGCGCGTTTTCGCTACCCGGCTCGAAGAGGTTAATAATGCTTGAAACACATCATTATCACAAATGGCTCGGTACCTGAACATCGTATCCCCAAGGGGTTTCTTTTCTAATACAGTCAAAAGTCGTTAATCCGGACTTGTCGGGACTTCGGCGATTCCGGATTATCGATTTTTCCGGATTATAGATCATCAGTTTAAATCTCGTAAAGTGTTCAAGTCCTCAAAGCTAAAAATAGCTGTGCCGAGAATACCGACTAACTTGTCAATCGAATTTTTTTCGTTTTCACTAACCTCTCTGTCACCTTCTTCATGTCTTTATACATTTTTTGCAGCAATTCCACTTTTTGTTTGATGGACATCGAAACATACTTTCGTTTTGTAGGATCCTTTGGGAGCTCCCAGAATCGGAAATTCTATTTGACATAATCGAAAGTTCAAGTTTACTTTTATAAAATTGTTCTTACAGTCTGCAAAAAATAATAAGCCGCATCCAATTCGAAGATTAAGGAACAACGCAATCATCAACATTAACTGAAATAGATAATTAGGTAATTTTAGCTTATACCGTCCGTTATACATTAACCTTTTGAAGACGGGATGGCCATTATAGTGGCCATAGAGTCCTCTCTTTGAAAAGACGGGGTTGTCCACTTTAGTGGCCATGTCTTTTTCCCTCATTTTCCAGGCTGAAAAGTGGAGTGAAATGTCAAATCTGACGTCCCTAAGGTTTTAACCACTTATCTCTTTCAAAGATCTTCCTTTTGCGACATAGATGCACCCCTCTGAGAATCCATTAGACTACCCACAAGAATCTTTGTTGCAAATAGGAGGTAATTTCTTAAAGGGGGAAAGCATTCGGTTCAAGATTCCCCGTCCTTTGGTAGCTTTTACTGCTACCAAAGCCCCGGCCTCAAAAGGTTAAACGCGCATGCGAAAACGTATTCTGCGCTTGCGTACACGCATATGCACAGTCATAAAGGTCTTACGTGCACGCATAAACGCCTATGCGCATGTGTCAACGCGGCGCATGCGCAGAAAGTTTTTAGCTTTGAGGTCCAGATTATAGATCATTCCGAATTATGTGTGTCCGAATTAACGACTTTTGACTGTATATATTTGCATATTACGCCCATTTTCACAAATTCTATAATATTTTTTTTTTTTTGAAAAACTATAGCGTCTATTTTAGTTGATGGTAGATTAAAAATAGTATAATTAAATATTTGCAATGAAAAATTTTAATTTATTTTAAAATGGAATATACTATATTTTAAATATTTAAATTCATTAAAAATATATTTTAAAACTGAACATTTTCACTAGACAAAGAAATATGAAGGCCAAAAACTTATATTTTTAAAAAAGACGGTAGAAAAAATACACATACAGGGATTGGTACAGGTAATACAGGGATTGGTATTTGTATGCATAATGCATATGCATAATTTGGTAACCATTTGTTTCTCATTTATTCAAAGATGCACTAAATCAATATTCTTGCAAAGACCATTTCAGAAAACAAGCACCTTTTTTTTCTTCTGTAAAAAAGTAACCAAACTGTGCCACAGTGGTTATACTAATAAGTGACTTTTTTAATTGATAAAAAATACTTGTTTGGCTATTTTTACAACTCAGGTGTACTGTTTTACTCGTAAATAATACTAAAAAGGAACATTTTAGACAAAACCAAATTTATTACAAAGCAAAAGCAATAATGACAATTTAAATTTTTGCTAGCTTGCAGAAACTCCACAGTCCTTTTAAAATCTGGGTAAAAGTATAGTTTAGGGTACCCCTTGGCAATTTTTGGCGGTACATGGATACCGATTTTGTGCAATTCTTTGACTCGTTATTTTGGCTTGCAAAGCCGCTACACAAAGCCAAAATAACAAGTTCAAACAATTGCACAAACTTGGTATCCATGTACACACTGACTTATTTTCACTTAAAAAAAAAACTCCGAATTGCACAAAAATGGCATTGTGCACTCTTTTAACTTTATCCATGTACACGTCGACCTATTTTCACTTAAAAAAAAAATCCCATAATTGCACAAACTTGCATTGCGCATTCCCTTTACTTTGTCCATGTACACATAGATATATTTTCACTTAAAAAGTCAAAGGAGCATCAAAGTCTACAATATAGACAAATAAAAAATACATTTTAAACCAAACAATAAAATAACATAAAAAAGGAAAAACATGTCATACATTTAAGCACTACCAAAAGCAAATATTCACTTACCATGATTTTCGAGTTCGCTTCGTACACCAGAGCCATGTAAAAATCAAAATATCAATCATAGTCAAATGACTTTTTTCAAACCAGGTACTCTTTCTGATCGAACACTTCGCATAGTGACCATCTGAACCTTTCTTCCTACAAACCCATTCAAATCAATCTAAACGGTTTTAACACACACCACAAAAACGCTTACAAAACATCCCATGATTCAAAATTTCCCAGAATCATGCACCCGATTACATCACAGTAGGGTTTCCATAACATTCAACTAGTCAGGCTACCATAAATGAAACAACAACTTGGCGATAAATCAAACAACAACTTCGCCATAATACAAGGGGTACCTTAAAGTCTACTTACCCAAAATCTGTTATGATACCTCCCCACCAAAAACTTATTTTGGGACAGGAACACTGACTAGCAAAATAATTGTTAAGCATCATGTAATCAAGCATGTGTGTGGTGCATGCATGCATGGCATACTAAAAAAGAAATATTCCTAAACACGGCAAAATTTTGAAAATGGGACTATGGATAATCAGACTAGTGTTAATATTTTTTCAAAAAGTTCAAAAATTCTTACCACCCCTGTGACTAATGTGACGACAATAAAAATTCAGCTTCTTCTTCTTATGAATAAGATTAGGAAATTTAAAAAGAATAAGTGAAGAAGCAATATATCCTCCAAATATTGAAGCAACAACATACATGATCAGAATTTCATGGCTGAAAATTGTCAATGGATGGAAAATACCAGCTACACCATCTAAAATTATGTAAAAAAAAAAAAAAAATATCAAGAGCTTGTCATGCATATCAGTATAAAACTTCATACATAAAATTAAATATATTTTAAAACATAATTACATATTTCAAACATAAATTATGATGTAAATTGCTAAATCTTTATAACTCAGTAGATGACTTTGCATGGAATTTTCTCCTCTTTTACAGTGTGTCTCTGTGCACATCTGGCTTGTATAATGAGAAGCACATCCAGCTAGTAATTCAGAGGTCCAGAGTTCAAATTCTGGTGAGAACATTGCTGATATTTCATGCATCGGCCCACCAGCGGCCGAGCGGTAAAGACGCTGAACACTGGTAGTTCGGTCTGAGGTTCGAATCCCGCGAACGGGCTGGCTGCATGGGCGTTTTCGTGGTTTTCCCCATGTGTAACGTATATACGAGCCAGTTTCCCTTAGAAAGTCCTCCACGAAAGGCATCCCTCCCTTTAGGCAGATAGCCCTCGTGTGCTTTGCCATAATTAAATACACCAACACCATTTCATGCATCGTGTTCCGAAAAAAAAAAATATGACAACTTCATACTTTCTACTCAAACTAAAATACAGTGGATGATAATTTATCATCTTCTGGATTTGTTTTCGTCTCCCATTTAACCTTAATATAGGGGAGAATGCAAAGAATTTCCTCCTTTCTGACAGCATGCCTTCGTGGTGTAATTGGAAGTACAACTGGCTAGTAATTAGAACATCCAGAGTTTGAATTTGGTGACATCATCACTGATTTTTCACGTTTCTTGCTCTAAAATTGACCTAATGGCTTTACAACTTCTGTTTGTTGGTTTATTGAATTATTGCAAAATATCTGACGGCTATCTTCCTAAGTGGAGGGACGCATTCATAGAAAACTTTCAAATGGCTTGTATTCATGTTACAATCTGAGGAAACTAATGATACAATAAATGCTTAGCAATTGATTAAATTTTTTACACACCATTACAACTGCACAAGGGTTCCATCAAGTACAGTTTCACAAGCTTTCCTTTCATTTATTATTACAAAACTGAAATGTCTTAATTCTTCTCTAATAGTATGTTTATGATCATAAAATTCATTAGAACCCTTTCAATATTTAACCCCGACTGCTCAATTTGTAGACTGAAATCGTTTCCCCAAATTTTTTTTATCATATTTTAAATCTCTATATATTAGAGAATTGAAAAATGCTTTCTAGAAATCATTCCTTTCTAGAAAATATTTTTCATATAGTTTTTTATCATGAGAAACTAAGTTGCCAAAAAAACCAATTTCAGATGTTATCCACCAAAAAATTTTTTTAAAAAATAAATTTCAGTCAAATTACAGTTAATTTCTATTTATTGCATAATATAAAAAAGTAAAATGTATAAAATTTAAGAAAAAGCGCTGAGGGAAAAATACCTTAGAAATGCAGTTCAGTATGAAAGAGTTCAAAACAGGTTTCAAGACAAAGTCCAACTTCACAGTCTTTGCACCAGATTCAATAAATCTAATTAATAATTCAATAATTTAATTAAATAATTAAGATAATCGCTGAACATTTTCTAGCAGCCATTTCTGTAAGAAAAATGTGAAGTTTGAGCGCTAACACCCGATGCCTTCAAATGCTGCAATTTAGTGGACAACTAATGATATCTGTTGGCCAAAACGTAAACTAAATGCATAATACAGTATATAATTTATTTCAATGGTAAAATGGGGAAAAAACGGGATGCGCTCCTCAATAAAGAAAGAAAAACATATGCACACTGAAATCGGGGGATGAGCAAATTTTACTACATTTCAGTTGCCCGTGGAAATCACGGGATGATCAGCCAGAGGGTTAAAATAAAAAAACTTCATATTACTTTATTCATTCATAAACTTAGTTGGTACAAACAAGATTGAATATGGAACTACTCTGATATGCGCCCTCAAGTCGCCAAATATCTCGCCAAATATTTTTGGCGAGAAACTTCACGCTGCCATATTACTATCTAAATTTTTTGTCTACATTTTGAACTTTTAGCCTAAAATGTCTCCAAAAACGTGGTTTTCGCACATGCAAAAACTACGTTTTGAACACACAATTTAGCTAAAAATCCGAAAACAAAAACAAAAAATTTACATAGCAAAAAACGTAAAGTTTCTAACCAAAAATATTTGACAAGAATCCATGTACAACACAGCGACATGTTTTAACTTAAAAAAACATCAACGAATGAATCTACAAACTATGCACACCTCGCTTTAATAAATTAACATAACAACAATAAATTTCAAATAATACCATGTACACAGCATCCTGTTTAAACTTTAAAAAAATTCTACGAATTGCACAATTTAGGCAAGGAAGGAATCTACGATCTACGCACTCCTCGCTTTAATAAAATAACATAACAACAATAAATTTCAAATAATACCATGTACACAGCGTTCTGTTTCAACTTCTACGAAAAAACATCTACAAATTGTACAGTCTAGACACTAAACAACAAAATAAACTAAAATAAATTTCAAACAATTTAAAAAAACAGCAATAACGACAGAAATTCATACTAAAGAACCAATGAACATAACATTCTACAAAATAAGAACAAGGATAAATAAATGCACTTATCATGAATTAATGCGTTTTCGAATAGAATAGCAGAAATATAAATTTCATACTGCCTTTAACATGCCGCACGTAATCACTATCGTATTTACATGACAGCCAGGCACACTATCCAAAAAAAAAAAATTTATACTACGGTTTACAAAAATAAATAAATCACAAATCCCTACTTCTATCATGCACTGCCATTAAAAAATAATCTCCCAGAACCTCTTTCCATTCCCACACTTCCAAATACCCCATACCCCTCAACAGGATAGCCACAATCATATTTCCTTTAGCCGAACTTCAATTCAACAACTACCATTTTATCTTTCCCCCCATCTTCTCAGACACAAGAGGCAAACCACGAGCTCCAGCGAAAGATTTTTCAACATCAACAGGGTTGCCATAGAACACGCAATCGCACCAAAAACCAGCACAGAACACATATCGCCACATTTGGTGAAATTAGGGTGTATATTAGAGTTGTACCTTGAATATTTTACTTTATGTCTAAAAATGTCATGAAACGATGATACCGATACAAATAAATTTATTCGCACCAATATGAATTGTCTAACATTTATTCTAACATCTTCCATCTGTCTTTCAAATATTTAATTAATTAATATTTAATTAATTTCAAATATTTAATTAACTCAAATATTACCATTTAATATTTATTCCAGCAAAAAATGTGTAGATTGGTATATGAAGTAAAGGAGATAGTGTAATCATAATATTTATTTTGCCAGCTCCCGAATCCATTTGGATCTTTTTTTTTTTTTTTTTTTTTTTTTTTGGCATAACAGCTGTATGTATGAATAGAATAAAGAGCTTTTTTTCATTAAAGCAGATTCAAAAGGGATTTTTTGTGACATCCATATATATCTGGCACAGGATTAAACTGAGGAGATAGGTCATTCCTTTGCATGACTTCTCGACGATGCAATCCTTGTAGGGGGTGTTAACAGGAAGTAGTCTGACATCACAATGTTGCATCTGCTCTAACTTCGCCTGTTTAAAAATAGTAGTGTGGACATCTCAAATTAATTTTTAATCACACATATTGTTTTCTAGTAAAGCAGCGACAACATCAAACTGACGGCCCCAAGTAATTTATTTTATGCTGCCTGTGAATACATTTCCCATAAATTAATTAGCATTATTATGATAAGAATTTGAAGAAAAAGTTTAAGATTTTAATGGTTTGGATTCCAGTTTTACGTTATTTTCTTTACCAAAAATGTATGTGAGTAACTCTTTGGAAAATCTAGAAATGGAACTAATTAATTTACACTGTCAACAATACATTGTTGATAAAGATACAAATCTGATTAACTTTATTAACACTTGTTAAAAGGTAAATATCTTTAGTTACAAATTTTGCAACAAGAATACTTGCTTTGGTTTTGTGTACATTTACATAAGAAGTTTTTTTTTTAATACTTGAAAAATAATAATTCTACAAATAAAAAATTTTAAAAAAAAAATATATTGCTAATGAGTATGTAAAATTTGTGATGACACTCTAGTAATTCCCTCCAAGTTTACAAACTTCATGAAAATTGAAACGTGATGAGTTGGTGTAGCTGAAAGGTATAGTAAAAAACAGAGATGTTTATAATAATTTACATAAAAATGTTATTTTTTCTGTTATCACATCATAGAAAAATCCAATAAATAAAATAAAAGGAAGAGAATTGGTTGTCATTATTAATCCTCAAGTTTCGTCCCTCTTGGAAAGCTTTTGTATATTTCTTTTGCTTTAAATTAATATTTCTTTTGGTAATTTACTCAGTAGTTCAATAAATTACAATTAGTTGAATAAATGCCACTCTGAGCATCTGAAAGTTTTAATATATAGAAGTCTATTTGAATTCTATATTGTAACCAAGAGAAATTTCTTGCATTTACCAATTTTTACATTTCAGGCAAAATATGAGTAATAAATTTGACATTTTTCTTTGCATTAATTTTATTCATATGTTTTTACATATTCCAAATAATAATGAAATTTTAATACCATTCAATTCCAGAAACACAGAACTTTAAAATCCATATCACCCTGCACATACATATAACACTTTTATAAAAATCAATATATATTTTGTACTATTAAAAATATTTAAAGGATTTAGAAAAGATATTTAATTCTATTTAAGAAAACAATTCGGATGATTTTATATTCTGAAGCAATTCATGACCATCAAAATCCATGAATTCACAGAACAAAATTTACCATATTGGTTATATTTACAAACAATTTACAACGATAAGTTTATTACGGATTTTCAATAAAGACATTTTTGGAAAATGACAACGTTAATTAGAAAAAAAATATTTAGCAAATATGACAAATAATACCTGAATGCGTACAATTCTTCCTTGTTACTATCATAAGTATACAGTATTTAATATGATACTATAAATTAAGGATTCCATTAAAGCACCAGGCCTTTAAAATACAAAACTATGTTAAGCACACTTGGGGCATACACAGCAAGAACAGACAGCTGACACCTAGAGACACACTCGATATCAACATCAACAAAACCAGACAGACAGACTCAGACAGTACGCCAAAGTCGTAGTTGTTAGTACATAGTTGGATTTTTCGATATTTTAAGATAAAATAGCTGACGGTATTAAATGGTCGTTGAAAAGTGTAAAGTATGGAATATCTGGAGTTTTCCAGAAATATACAGTATCAATATATTTTTATGGTTGATTTGAATTAAAAGCAGCATCGAAAAAATCAAAATTGACCCAATAATTGGATTTTGTTTTTTTTTTTTTGACCATACGCACAATTTTTAATAAGACAGTAGCTCACCCTGATAGTTCCATCTAGGGTTGGAATCCTGCCGAACAAGCTGGCTGCATGAGCGTTTTCGTGGTTTTCCTCATGTGTGACTTGTATACCAGCTAATGTCCCTTAAAAACCCTCCACGAAGACATTTCTCCCCTTAGCAGATAGCGCTTGAGTATCATAATTAAATAAACCAAACCAAAACAGTAGCTCTCCTTTTTTGTCCCAGGTATTTTGCCTTTTTGTTAAATACATTAGTTTTCCTTGGTTTTAATAAAAGCTATAAATATGTTTACTTGCTAGTCAATCAAATTCATAACCAGTAGTTGCATCAGAAGTCATAGAATGTTTTTCTAATTAATCTGATAAGCATGTTTCACTGTCTCTGTAGCATTCTACGGGTTCGTGGATTTGGAGTGATTGATGAATACACTTGATGAAGAATCAAAACAGAATTTATTCGTCAGTATTACACAAGAGAGATCCAAAGATACGTTTACAGTCGCCGGAAAATTACGATAAACACTCAAAAACAATCAGCAACACACCCTTCACGCTATAACAGTGAAGACAGCTTAATGGCAAAGCACTAAAGTACAGTTCATGACTCGGTCGATCGCTCTCAAGCTAATCTCTGAACTCAAAGCACTACTACTGAACTCTACTCCTCACGTTAAAACTGCTGTTCCGCGTACAGTCAGGGTATTTATAGCTTTTGACCTGCCTTCGAGAAAATTCTCGGTAAAACTGGTAGAATTCGTTCTAGAACTTTCTTGCTCTGTCTGTGGCATATCGCCAATTTTGTCTCCAAATGGGCAATTTCGCGCCAAATCTGGGAACCTTGCTTTGGGAAGGGAGGAGTTTTGTCATCTGCACTGATCAGAAAACCCCTTAAATTTGCATTCCAGTAATATCCTCACAAATACAGTCCTCGCCAATTACGACATTTGGATTTTTTCTTCCAGTTTACCACTGATATTCAATCTCTACATATAAAAAGAAAGAGTCAGTCTGTGCGTGTGTGTCTTTCGTTTGCGCTGCGCGTAAGCTAATAGACCCACGGCTACGAAATTTGGTACATAGGTGCATCTAGACAAGAGCCAGTGCACCTCGAAGCGATTTTTTCGGAATTCGAATTCGAATTTTTTTTTATTTTATGTTTCGTGACGACAAGAGCCAGTGCACCTCGAAGCGATTTTTTCGGAATTCGAATTTTTTTTTTAAATTTTATGTTTTGTGACGAAATCGCGTCATTTTGAGACATAATGGGCTATAGGAAAGCAAGATTTTACTTTACACACTCCAATTTCCCATCGTCATGGAAACGTAGGCACTTAGCTATTTTACGAACTTAAAATAAATTTCGTGTTTCAATAAATCGATTAATTACGAATTTATTTAACAAAGGGAGCTTAACACCTTTTCAACGGGATTTTTTTCTAAAAAAGTTTATTTTTAAAAATGTACAGTTTATTTTTCTTTGATTTTTGGGTATGTTAAACTTTCATCCTTGCGACTGCTTTTACAAAAAGAATTTTGGAAAAATGATAATATTTTGTATTTTTAAAACATTTTTTAAATGAAGCTTCCGAGTACACTTCTCACATCACACATCTTTAAAAATGTGATTTTGGCAACAATTTTCCTTTCTTATTGTTGTTGATAGATTTTTGATGAAATCGCATTTTTTGAATTTTTCATTCTTTTAGAGAAACTTTTTGGAAAAATTTTTTTTAATCGTATTTCTTATGTCACTGTTTTTTTAAGAGATTGGCATATTTCATTGTCATTTTTTTATATATATAATACATTTTTTATCGTTTTTAAAACACTTTATATATATGTAAGATAAAATTATATGAATCAGAATTATAATATAACTATAAATATTAATTCTTCCTCTCTATTCTAAAATCGTAATAACTTCTCTGCATTGCGTCATTTCTGATCACTCTATGGCCCGCGCAGCTCTGATGAAGTAATAATTGGGAACTGAAACTGCCGTTGTAAACCAAAACTTTTCTCTTCGCCGTGCTTCCATCTTTCATAACTACGCACTTCAGCTTTTGCTCTCTACTGTGCTAAGATGTAATTTCGCTGGCTTGCTTTCTATCTCAACAATATCAAAAATGTAAATCTTCTGTGGAAAGGCACGACTAGAGTGCCAAGTGATTGTGGCCATAAATATCAAGTTGCAAATAAAAAGGGAATTAAAACTGCCTCGACAGCCAAGTTCTTTAGATATTACCAAGTTAGCATTACTAGCATTCTACGCAATCAAAATCTTCTTCAATATGGGTCTAATCACGCATCTACAGTGTTCCGTCTTTTCCTTTGCTTTTATTATGTCATATATATATATATGTAATAATAAAATTCCATAGTCAAGAATACACTTAAAATTCTAACTGTATGTTCTTTTCATTTTTAATGGCGACGTTCTCTTATTTGAAAGTACGTGGAATTAAATCTACAGCCCCGTAGTCAAGTTGTTTTTCCCGCCTTTTCTACACGTACAGTTTTAGAATGTTCTAGAAATATTTAAAGCGAACTGGATTGGCTGACGAGGCTGACGTCATTTCTTTGCAGCTCCGCCTTTCCAGAGGCTATAAAAATACTCGCAAAAGGAATATCGGGGCTTTTTCTTAAATGTCACGATGCAGTAAACTTCATACAAAAAGTTATTAGTAATTCTTTTTATTTACTCCGGATATCTGATTTTGTAACTGCTACTTCTCCTGAATAATAATAAATGGATCCTGTTTTTTAAACTTATCGTCTGATAATTTAAGCTACGACTACATTTATGATTCTTCAACAATCTATTTATTCCTGACAAAAGCTGGTACAACACAAGGAGTCGGCAGGATTAGTGTACCCAAAAGGAAAATAATTCCAATGGAAGAGAAAGAACTTTTTTAAGTGCAAGTTGTGTCTGTTTTTTACTGACTGAAGAATTGTGAATTGTGATACAGCTTTGTCTTCGAATTTTGAGCGCGTCTCATAGTTAGAACCGCATGACTTGGATACCGTCTGCTGGAAAAAAGCTGAAGAATTTCAATCATTTATGCTGATTTTTTTTTTTTTTTTTTTTTTTTTTTTTTTACAAATTGAGGAATTGTGATACAGCTTTGTTGTCGCAATTTGAGCGCGTCTCATAGTTAGAACCGCATGGTTTGAATATCGTCTGCTGGAAAGAAGTTGAAGAATTTCAATTATTTATGCTTTTTTTTTTTTTTTTTTTTTTTTTTTTTTAACAGCACACAAACTATTAGGATTAAATAGTGTACTCAACAGCCAAGTAAGAACATATTTTAAGAAGTTATTTTTTATCAGTGTGTGAACTAAGTTGCTACGACAATAGTTTGTTTTAAAAATATATTATGTTAAAGTAATTACGAGTTTATTTAAATTTCAAGTCTTATTCTAATTAATAGTATTCTAAGTAGATTTGATATTATCCTGAAATGTGTAGTGATAATCATAAAGTTTGAGAATACAAAATTTTTATTTAAGTCTATTATTCTATGAAGTGTTGATAATACTTTAAAGAGTTTTTGGTTTAAAAAAATATTTTAACTATTGTAAAAATATTTTGAGAAAAGTGCACATTTTTTATTCTCAAGAAAGTTTTAAAGTTTCAGTTACAATGTGGAGAAATCAGGAACCCGTTAATCTTGACGATTCACTGAACGTAAACCAAGATACAATAGATTTAAATATTATTCCATTTGAAGATTCTAAAGACAGGGACATAATTTCTTGGTTAGGTTATTTTAACAAAATCTGCCAAAATAAGGACGAAAATTGGAAACTTCAAAATATTTCTCGTTAGATTAAGGGAAAAAACTCTCTGGCTCTATATTAAAAATTGCCATGAGCTAAAAACTTACTCAGAATTTGAACAAATATTAAAAGAAAACTTCATCGATCCCACATTACTTTTACCACATTACTTTACTACTTTTGGAGACTTCGCTTAATTTAAAATATAACGCCAGAGCAAGACATCACAAATTAACTTTCGAAAGAAAATTGAAGTGGGTAAGCGGCTTAATTTGGATAAATCATTATTTTAGAAGGTTTGACAGATTGGTTTGCCAACGAACTTAAAGTCTTTGATGATTCTTCAAAGTCCCGCTGATCCGATAACTTGGCTAGAACAAGCCCACAAACTTCGACAAATTCATGAATTTAAAGATGAAAATGAACAAAATTATAACAGAGATAGGAATAGTCAACAACTCAGACAAGCTAATTTCCGAAATAATAATCGTCAGTTTGTTGATAATCGATCCAATGCATCTAATTACAAACCTCATAGTTTTCAACAAATTGGAAATAAATCTAACAGCAATATCAACAACGGAAAGAAAGTTATAAGTCACCATACTAATAGTAATTTTGACGGTATAGCCCCATCACCTTGTAGAATATGTACCGAAAAAGGAATACCAAGTTGTTATCACTGAGCTCAAATCTGCCCATTCCGATTCCGAAAGAAACAACGAAACTGTAAACTAATTCTAATGTGGAAAACAAAAATTCGGGGTCTGATTCTTCGGGAATTTGACAACCTAAGAATTAAGGGATTTTTATCCCATGGCAGATCAGTGTCGACTGTGTCGTGGACACTGGCGCGACATTGTCTATCATCCTCAGAAAAATCTGCAAACAAGTTTACAGTTAAAAATTCAAAAGGTAAAAGGTATTAAAATTA